CTCGGGGCGCAGTCCCCCAGCCCTGCGTCCCTGCCTGTTCCCCGTTCGCATCGAGGTTTGATTGGGAACGTGGGATCGTTGCCCGTCGAAACTTCCCTAACGGGAAGGCCTCCGGAACAGCTGTTACAGCCGCGGCGCGGCGTTCCACCTAGGCTCCTGAATCTGCTTTTCTCGAGCTACGGCCGGCTTCCCTCCGCTCGGCGGGTGTGCGCCGGCAGCTCCGCGCAGCCGGGTGCCTGCAGCACCGCCCGTAGCCGCAAACACGCCAGAGGAGCGGAAGGCAGAGCAGCTCCATTCGTTTCCAAGGCCAGAACGCACACCATCACTCCGCGAGCTGTACCAATGCTGTTCCCAAAACCTTACCTCGCCAAAAGGGAACCGCACCTCAGGCCGGCGGTCCGCAGGCATCAGCTTTCTGGCATCACTGGAGTCCCAGCAGCCGAAATGAGAAGGGCAATGCCGAACAGCCCAGACAGGATTCTTCAGAGTTGTGTTTCTTCTGTGTTCTGTAAGGCACTGAATGTCACCAGGAATTCCTTATCTGCTCTCTTGGTGGTTAAACCCGAGGCAAGCCCCTCTAAAATTAAGCGGTGTGCTCCCCACCCCCCTTATGAGGCCCGCGGAACAAAACCTACTTAGGGGTCCTTCTGGTTTGTCGTTAGTTGCTGGTGAGAAAGGGCAGATGATTTTTCAGCAGATGCTAAATATTCCACATTCCCACAGGATTCCTAATTCAGGTTGGTTTCTTCCTTGTTAGGTGCAGGTGACGTCTGTACAGTATGCCTCATACCGAAATTGAGATAAGGCAGGCAAACAGTCTTCGTGAAGGTGTTGGACTTTGGAAGGAGGCACCAAAAGAGCCTGTTTTATTGATAGCAAACACAGAATCGCATTCAGACCTTGTGGTGAAAAAGCCTGCTTGTAGCTATAGTTAATAATTAACCCTCACGTACACACAGTAGTCTTCAAGTGACCGCTGCAGTCTAAAAGCCCCAAACAGCAAAAATGAGGCCAAAAAGAAAAAAGACCACTTAGTAACTTGATGCTGAGCTATGGAACAGGCTCAGCGATCGGAACGTAACGCAATGTTGCTTTCAGGCGGGATCAAGGCACGAGGACTGGAAATTTAGTCTTACTTCCAGGTATGTGTCAGGTTATTTTGTTTACACTGCGCTGGGCTTCTCTTTCCTTAACGACTGTTTAAAAACTTCATCTGTTAGCTCTCTAAATGTTTTCCTTCTTCTGAAGCTACTTTTTGAATACTGGCCTTAGGACGCTTGGTTAACAGTTCTAAAAAGCTGGGAAGAGGAGTAATACTGTTGCCATACTTAACTTATTCCACATTTTTTTTTAGCAGAACAGCAGAGAACACTGATGGATGGCTAGCAGGAGAGCCTACATCTGGAAACTAACAATGCTTACAAAACTACTCATTGTAATACTGATCACTTAGCATAATTACCATGACACAAACAATTTTTAAACCAATTCAGGAACTTGGAGAGGGCAGCAACAACCTTTTATTGTTATATTGTTTTAAACATCTATTGTTTCCTTATCTAAACTTGTCTCCCTTTCCTTAACCTGAACTCCAAAAAAGGTTCGTAATTAATAACTGTTTAAAAAACTATTTGTTCATCGCTCTGTTTATTCAACCCCCAGCGAAAGAGCCTCCGCTGGCCATCTCCTTTGCCGGAGGTCACGAATCTTCCCTTTGCTCTACAACTGCCAACAGTACAGTTTACATAAAGACAATTCGGGACAGAGGGGGACGTAGCTCCCCAAACCTTTTTCTTCTCTTTAAATGGGAGTTTAAAAAAAACACCACCAAAACCTCAATAGCAAAATGGACTGGAACATGTTTGATTGTTACAGTTACAAATAGTGGTGTGCAGCACATCTAAAATACCATCCCCTCGGGGGCCACAATGTGATGCAGCTTGTCCCTGGTGTTCCCTTGCCCTGCCAACAACATCAGCCGTCTGGCAGAGTTAATCTCTTCCTGAGAGCCTTTGCTTCTGCCCCTCCCATGCTTCCTTTTCTATTTTGAATGCTCTTCCAGGTATTTTGGCAAGCCTCTGCCTTTCCTTCCCAGGACTCCCACACATTCCAGAGCTGGTTAGCACAATTATGGAGTTCAACCATTAACCAGAAGCTAAAGGTAATCAAAGACAAGCCTCTCGGCAAACCCCCCTTCCCTTACTTGGCGGCCATCTCTCCGGGACAGGTCTTCATCCCATTTACGGAAGCTGCTAAAAGACTTTGGGAGTTTTAAGGAAACAAGACTCCTGGGACGATTTTATCACATGGAACAGTCTTGCAGGGAAGAGGTAACATTTCTTAAGCATTGTCATAAGGGGAAAGGAAAACGGACCAACAAATACCAGACAAGCATTTAGGCACCAAACTCCTGTCAAACCAATGCAGGCTTTTGTCACCGATACAGACTGCGAGCGGTTGCTGTAAACTTGGCTACATGAGTCAGTCGAGACTTCCAGACTGGCACACAGGAAGCAATCAATTTCAGCGAGGTTAGGCAGGACAGGACTTCCAGACCATTGGCCAGAAGCAGAAAAATACAATCATCAGGAAGAGCGATTAGCTATTGGTGAAAACTCCGATCTACCTGAAATACCGATATACCCCCCCCCCCCCTGTCCCCCACTTTCACCCACTGCCCCCCCACTTTCTCTGCTGAGTCTGAGCATCTGGTACAGCTACAAATGCCAATAACCTGTCTTTCAAAAGTTTTCCTTCACTGAAGATGGAGCAACTGTCTCATGGGGAAAATGCTGCCAGTAAGGCGGCGGTTCCTACCCACACCAACTGCCTGTAGTGTGTATCAAAGGATTTTCTTTCAGCTATTTCTTTTGGGAGAGGTGAAGCAAGACACTATTGATGTGATGTCAGGTGTGTAACCATAGATCAATCTGCTTATTCCAGTAAGTTACAGAAGTAGAACTATAGTACGGATGAGTTGTTTGTCTTGGGGCAACATGCAAAGTCTAACATCAGGATCAGAGCTCGTCCTGTGCCTCCAGTGTGCGAGGATGATGGCCGACAGAGTCCTTGCCCTTACTTACAATTTGATGCAAGTATTAGAGCACAAAATGAGTCACGTCCTATGACTCATTTTGCACACCATGATAAAACTCATTCTAACTCGCTGATGCTCTTTATCTTCACCAGTTAGGTGAAATCTGTTTGTTACTCAGCTACCTAAAACCAGGAAATTGTCTGCATAAATAGCAGTAGCATTACGGATGAAGGGCAAGGCATGTCAAATGTGAATGTTGGAAGTGCTCTTATAAAACCCAACCCGACTGGCCAAATTTTGAACAGAATCTTTCCAGTTAAGCGTTTTAAGAAACACAAAGAATTCAAAACAACGCGCATGTCTGCGGTCTTTAGCTTTATCATCATAGCCTGAAATCACACCTTTACGTAATGAATTAAGAATTCTACATACAACTTTATTTTTATATAAACATTTGCATGTGACGTACGGGAATGGAGAATGAACCTCCAAGGAAGAAACAGATGCATGTTAGTGAATATGCTGCATGCAAATTACTTAAGAAAATGATTTTTTGAAGAGTCAGTCAGAAAAATAATTACACAAGCTGTACGTGACCAGGCAAAGGAAGGACCGGGAGCAAGTATTCTCCATTCAAGTACCAAGTCATTGACATCTATACAAATGAGTTTCAATAGCTATTTGAACTACTAGGAGACTGAGCTAAATACTACAGTTTTCCATATGCTGTGAGTTATTTGCAGTGTTCTAAATTCAAAACAGTAAGTTGATGTTCTATTTTTAGCTTTTGTTTGTTAAAAAAAAAAACCGTCTTTTACTCTTGTACTCATATGAGTTGGTAGTCATTGTATTTACCTCATCCAGTAAAGCTGAAATTTCAGGTAATTGTCATATTTTTTATTTTGATTAAAAAAACATGCAAACAGCATGCACAATTAACCAAGAGGTGCTTCCAGTGAAATGTTACTCTCTATTTAATGGTGGAAAATAGCAGGTAACAACACTTATGCTTCAAATGCAAATACTGGGCAACAATACTATATAACTATTGTTTTTCGATTACAGAATTTGCTAATAGTTCTAGCTAGCCAGAGACTCATGCCAAACTAACCACAAGCATCAGAGGAACCAAGAAGAAAAATGGTTTGCACTCAACATCTTTTCATACATTGATAAAACAATTTGTAACAGTATGGTATATAGCTGTTCCCTCAAGAATTAGTCGACAACTTTGTGCTTCCATTTTACAGGCAACTGAAACCCACCAGTGGTAATAATACAGCAGTGAAAGAGTTGAAGTGTTCTTCTTGCAGTTCAAGATTTCTTTTAAAGCTTTTTGGTTTAAGATCCAGAATACAGAATTTATTTCATTACAATTTTTTAACAGCCTGAAAAAGACAGCTTCATCAGCCTAAGCACCATATTCAATTCTAAGAGTCAAAAAGGCAAAAGTTTCTGCACCAGCACAGTACTAAGGGGACCCTTGTATCATGGTGAAAAAAGACAATCTAAGCCCACTTAAGAAACGCAGCAGAACAAAATCAGTGCAAATTTTTGCTACCGTAAGAGGATCTTAATTTTGCTCAACTAAAAAAAAAGGGTCAATAAATTATCTATTTTTACTCTTTGAATAACAAAAGGGAACAGAAAGAGAAATCCACAGTAATAGAATGAAATGTTTACAGAGATACTGCTGCACAGCTTAAACATCACACACCAGCCTTTCCAGTTCCATATGATGCTTCCAGCCACACAGACCTCTAAGTAATTTAAAGTTTAGCTAAAAAAAAAAAAAATCCTAATGTGAAAGAAACTATAATTTAGAACTTGGAGGAAAGAGCAAGTTCTGCAATACTGAGAGAAAAAGTTGTACTGCACGCACTGCACAAAATGAAAAGTTTCTACCTGCCACAGTCATTTAATTCATGACATGTTCAATTTGCCTGTGACGAGTTATTGACTTGCAATAGCCACAAATTTTAATGCAATGCATTCACAGTACCACAACTTATGTCAGTGCGATTTGCAGCCATTTCTTGTTTTGGGTGAATGTCTCACCAAAAGAAGTTTTAGTACTTGTGCACCAGTCAGAAGTCACCAGGTGGGTTAGTCTTTATGTCCAAACAAGACTACGTACAGTAAGAATTCATTACTTACTTCTGCAGTAAGAAAGTAAGAAATGCGTTGACAGGAAGCGTGACCTCAACCACCTGTACTACTTGGACACAGATTCGAGCAGTGACACAGAAACCCAAAGACTGAGCACTAGAGAAAAATATATTATTTTCATTTTTGTTGCACAATATAGCGATGTCAAGAAAAACAGCAACAGAATTAAGCTCAGGTACTTCAGAAACCAAGGAAGGGCTTGGCTTGTGGTTAAAGTCTTTAAACTTCCATGAGGTAGAATATCATCAAGTATTTTCTTTCCCAGAATATATTAAGCAGGACAAATCCAATTTAGTTTTTAACGCTGTTGAAAACTCTTTTGATAGTAGTTCATGAAGGGATACTTTGTCATGAGAATACACCCAGTTCCGTCCAGTCCAGTCATAGCGCTTGGGTCCACTAGAAAACAAAACACACACTGTGTAAGTACAGATTATTCATGGGGAGCTGCTGGAAGCCTGTATTTATGATGTATCCCAGAGAGCACCCAGGAAAAGGAAACAGACAGCATGGAGAAGGACTGGTGGGCAGTCTGGGGAAGCGGAGCAGAAAAGGACAGATCTGCCAGGAGCTGCTGAGCCACCCAAAACATGTATCTGAAAGGTGATAAGATGTATCAGTCAATCCCAGCAGACACAAGCTCCCTCCTTCCCGTCTTGCTTTTGGCACCAATTTCCGCAATTTCTTCCCTTACCCATATAATTTTCTTGCACACAATTATTACAAGGGATATTTGTCTAATGCTGAATTAATGCTATTAATTAGTTCTTGCAGCAGTCACAGGCAGATATTCTAAGCACAGCAGAACACAGATCACCATTCTCACTTTCTTTTTAGAGGCAACAAAAGAATTTACCAGATGAAAGCCAATATATTGGCATGTGGAAGATTTATATTTAAAATGCCATTTTCCTCTGTGCTATCATGTAGTTGTTCATTTTTCAGGCCTAAATGAAGGATCAAGAAACAAACTTGAACACCTGGGCTCCATTCCAGACCTTTCTATTAACCCAATTCTTCACATCTGAAACAGGAGAATGACTGAAAGGCAGTCACTACTGTTAACGTCAGCTAGAGAAACTAAGAAAAGAGAAAGGCATGAAATGGTCGTCTGGGATAAACAGACAAACCATCAGTCTTACCCTTGAACACATAGGACAAAATGCCTTGGAGCTCAGACAATCCACACACAAGGTCTGCTAGAAAACAGACTATCCGATATATACACAAGAACAATCTGCAGATTTTCTACAAACATAAACCCTGATCTGAACCTTTATTTCCTGAATTACTCGCAATATCCAAATGAAGAGCTTTCCAACCACTAACCAAACTATGAGAAGTCACAAATGCAAACAAAAATCAAAGCCAGTTCCGCTGAAATCTCACTTGCTGTATGTGAACCAGTAACTATTTGGAATCGAGATTATGTGCTCCAATTACTTTACTATGTGTTTCTCACTTCTTTGTCTTTGCAGCACAAGCATGTGTTTATACTGTCCGCACCTAGAGAATGACAGAATGGGATGCAGCCATTCATGAAAATCAGGCTAAGACAGGCCATTTAACCAACAACCAGAAAGAAAAGAAATGCATGACTTCTTTGAAATGTTTTTAAATGTTACATAGTAAATACCTGTTATACAGTTAGTGTATGAAACACCTCCATAGTTCTCTGAAGTTCCAAGATGCTGTAGAAATGTGATTTTTCTACATTTAAATTAATAATTTAAGCAAGGATCTTATGAATTCTATAAAGCACCTACAAAGTCAAATATAGACTAAATATATTTCTCATGGAAAGTCTGCGTACATTTTTAAACAGTAAGAGAGAAGAATTAAAATATCACATTAATATCGTATCAAGAGATGCTGTGCAAGGTTGAAATGTCTTTTCAGTCAGAGTAGCTACATGAAATTACTGCAATCACACTGTTGGCAGGTTGCACACACCCCCTCACACCTTTTTTTTTAAACTGTCAACCAAGTAAAGCTTTACAAACACAAGCTTAAGTTCACTTTGTTGTATTCATGATGGCAAACAGAAGGTCAAAGAAGTTCAAGAAAATGTCTCTCTCATCTTAAGAATTTGCTTCTCTCAGGGTATGCTCTTAAAAGACTCAAGATTCTACATTTACTGCACAAATTTCCCAAATAAAACATTCAATGCAAGTGATCACAGGCAGTAACATTTGCTTCTTTCACTTCCTAGTATACCGCACTTAAGAAGTACGTCATTCCAGATCATATAGCATTTGCTGGAGTCGCTTTTCAGAAGTTAGGAAGAAAGTGAACATGGAGCACTGTATTTCAGGAAATACCACTGTTTACTGTAACACCGGTTAAGGAAGCACAAAACTTAATGTTCACAGGTGAATCATCACAGGTGATGAAAAATACTGTCAGAGAACTTTCAAATTTATCTCTATCCTTGTGCATTTTTATTCACTAATGGAGCAATTGAAAAAAAAGAGGAGTTTAATATTTTTTTCACAAATTCCATATTCTGGAACATGTGTGTCTTAGCTCAACCGGAGTTGGCTCCAAACAGATAGGAATTCTCTGAATTTTGGTTTTCATAAATAGATGAAACCTTTGTGTCACTGGCACAAAAATCTTATAGCAGAATCAAGGTTCGGAAATTATCCTTGCTGCAAAATGTATGGAATGAATAAATTCTGACACACAACCTACATCTGTCTAAACAAAAAGGTTTGTTATCTTGCTAGGCCTGTGACTTAGTAAGTCATGTACCTGTTAAGCACATTATTTAATTAATGAAAGGATTCTGGGATAGATGAGGAGTTAGTAGAAAAAAATTACTAACCTAGTATGCTGTGCACCGACCAGTACATAAGTACACTAAAGAAAAGTTAGAATTTTCTTTAGGTAAACTTTATGTCTATGAAAATAGCTTCTCTTAAAATTCCACTGTATGTTTCACCTGCCCTTCCCCCCCAAACCCTACTGCAGAACCATTCCTGGTTTTGCAATCGATACATTCTTTCTGAGCAACATTCAAGAGATACGCCTGCATAGTTACTGGGAGTGCTCATACTTTCCAGCTAGCTGGTTCCTTCACCAGTAACGCTGACCAACTCCCTCAGTTCGTTCCCCTTTCCTGGGATAGTGGCAGAGAATACAAATTTTGGACAGCTACAACATTTTCCCACATATCTGCTGCCCTCCCTGCTGAAACCAACCAGAAAACCTGGAATGGATCAAAACACAGCATTAGAGAAGGCAGAGGGAACAGCTAGCCAAGGCTCCAGTAAAGTGCAGATGCTTGACAAAAACAACCAGTGGGCGAGCACATAAACATATAAAGCAGGAAATCCCACAAGCTTAAAGGGGAAGGAGCCACCCTGTTTAAATACAAAGCGAGGTTTAGATCATAACATCATCACTCTTTTTCCAACAGAAGCTTTGTGGGTTTTTTTTAATCATGGGTGTTTATTTTTTCTATGAGTAGGCTATATTCCTGTAGACAGTGGTTTTGGACTGGAACAGGGTATGAAAATTCTGTATTACACATTTCTTGGATTAATTTAAGTCAGTCAGTATACTGCACTGTGCCTCAACCGTTTCTAACACAAATTATTATCAAACATGTAGATTTTATCATGTTTTGAGAATATACTGAGTAGAAGGGTTACTTATGAAAAGGATATTTGATTGTCTGTGCCATGCTATAAAAAAGGGGAAGTAGTTTCCACCCAGTCTACAGACATTAAATAACTAACTGACGCATAACTTACCTAGTGGGTGAGGACAGCCAAATCTGCCGGTTTGGTGTTTGCTTATTGATTACATATGTTCCCATGTCTCCACCTAATTTAACTGTCAGAACTCCACTCTTAAAACACAAAGAAAATAAGTGAGAACTTATTACATCATCTGCAGTAGATAAACAGAAACTTACATATCTGCATCACATTCCCAACTATTTCCCAAATAATAATGGCTTGGAAGAATGATCATTAGGTATCAAAAACCTGTGTTAATACCGAGGACAACCTGCATATCTTTGACTCTGATCTAGACTTTAAGCCTTCTGGTCAGAGTTTGATTTAATGTGTTTATACCATTCACAATGGCACTACTTAAATAATACTCTTGAGCTTTGACCTGTCGTCTTGAAAGGGCTGCTATTTAATTTTGCAATGATTAGAACATCATCCAATATCAACTTCTGCTATTCATGAACAATGCAGAACTGGTGTGGTTGAAAGTCAAGAAGCTTCATGTGTCATTGCTAGATTCCCGAGCTATGCGATTTCACTTAACTTTTCTGAAGTAACTGTAACAGTTTCCCAGTGAATAAACACAATTTTTTCTCCAGTAATTCTGAAGTGCCTGCATTCTGAATCATATCTCAGAAATGTTCCACTCCAAACTCCATGAGGTCTGGTTTGTTTTAGTTATGCCAGCTTTAGACCATTATCCTAGTGAGCATTTATTTTTTATTTCTTACTCACACTTCTTAATGACAACACGATTCACATTTCTCCGACATTTTCACAAGTGCATTTGAAAAGCATACATAACTCTTGACAAAAATATTTCTGTCCTAACTTTTATAAGAACAACACTACATGGACTTGCGTTAAACTACAGATGATCTGAATTATGCTAATTAAAAAGGGTATCTCTACAGAATACAGTTTGTTGATTCAGCTAATAGATTAGTCACATTTAATCTACAGAAATACTTCATGCCCTACAGCAAGATAAAGCTTCTTTAAGGGAATCATGCTTTTCATGCTTTAGTCAGAAGATAATACTAGAGTTTCTATCATTGCTGGGACTATTTGCTAGATATAAACACCATGGGGGAAAAAAAAAATCTTTCATTTGTGAGTACCTATTGCCTGCAAACTTACTCTACAGCACAGGCAGCAGCTTAGAGCTTCCTTCCCCTACAAAGTAACTCACTGTTACTGGTATCTGACCTCTCAGTGATCACCAGCTGTGAAATAATACTCTCAAGGTCTCGTTTTTTTTCTTAGCTTCCATGTTCTTTCTGTGCCAGATAAGGGGATTTATATCTGTGATCAATAACATAAAAATAAAAAGGTTCCCCTGGTTGATATTGCCATCAGGTTGTCCTGCCAGTTAATGTTAATTGGATATTGGTTTATCATCAAGGATGACAAGAATAAACTGCTACTCTGGTTGTCAGAATTCAAACTTCTCTGCATCTCAGTGGTCTTAGATCTGTAGAGATACAGCAGAATAAGAGCAGGTGGGGGATTAGGGCTGAATAGCCATATAAAGGTTTCACTGTTCTTCTGTATTCTCTTTAGTGCCATATTAAGTATTCAGCATGATGTGATGCTGTATGCTACAGAAACACTGTAAGTAAATAGGTTTCCAAAGAGTTAACAAAAAATGTATACTATTGCTTATATTGTGTGTCAGCTGTCAGAGAGTGTTGTTGCTCTGTCACTGCAAATTAAATAAAGGTTAACTTCTAATGCTGTGTTTAAAACATTTTCCCAGAAAATAAAACTTCCGTTTTTAAGAACTTAAATTGCAAGATATTTTTACATATTTTAAGGAATACCACTGTATGTGTTTTGTACTGCTGGATGAATGTTCGTTACCTCCTGCTAAGAACATTCTTCAAAAGACATTTTTTTTCCCTGGACATGAAGGTATAGATTCCATGAAGAAATCCGGTTTGTAACAAGTCACAGGCATAACAGACCTTTATCACGTTCGCCACCTTGTGGCTTGCTATAGCACTAGCCTCGTTTGTTTGGAACTAACTTTGGTAAACGTGGGACTATTTAACCTTTCAATCGTAACAGAAACAACAATGAATTATTATGTCATCATACAGTCTATGCAACAAAGGAGTACTGGTAAAAATTAAGATGGATATAAAAATAATGCATTTTGAGCCTCACAGTGACTCAAATACAATCCACAATCTACAGTGGCTGGAGATAAAATTCAGACATAAGATGATTCATCACCTTCACGTAATAAAGCTTCTAAGAATGTTAGAAGTAAATGACAATCTTTTTGCTAATTTTTGTCCTAAGCTTTTTAAATCAAGCTAATAGGCGCTGATATGCTAAAACATACTGAATAGGAATGGTTAAACAATTCTTTGCTTTTTACCAGAAAAGCAATTAGCTATAACATTAACTACACTTATTTAAAGCAACAAATAGTATTTGGTAAGGGCAACAGCAGAATCCTACTAACAATACGTTAGTTTCTTTCCTAGCTACAAGAAATAATGAACTTCATGATGACAAAGTTACAAGGGAGCAAGTCTGAAAACCACAGGGTTTTGTTTTCTTTTTGCACAGTGCAACCCAAACCATCTGCTTCAAAGTCCCTGAGCATAACTGACAGGGCTAGTAGAAACCAACCGCCTTGTGGTAAGACAGGAAGAGGGAGCAGCAATTATGGGACCTCAGAAAAATCCAGTAGTGAAAGATCTGTGGCACAGATGGCAGTGTAGGGAGAAACTGCAGAAACTGCACTCTCCTCCAAGTCATGTAGAGGCCTGTAGCATACAAACCACTGCAGGAATTGTATATAAAACTAATAAACTCCCTATAAAATTAGAATGGACATTTTTAATCTGAGCCTGTTGCTACTGTGCAAGAATTTGAGTGGCTACCCATGAAAGGCTCCAATTATCAGGCTAGCAGCCAACGCAGTGCCTCCTGTGACAGTAGCCTTCTTGCCACGGACGCTCTCTTCCACTTCTGCAACCAACTATCTAAACACTGCATCCCCTTGTTGCTTCTCTCTGCCACAGGCTGTCACCAGTAAAGCCAGGTCAAACGTATCTACCTGGTCAAGACAAATGCTGCTCCTTAGTATTCAGGGCAATCAAAGAAACTGCTCTACCAGTTATATGTGATGTACGTGTACTGTACATGTATAGGTCTGTCCTTGTATTCACCAGGAGGGAGGCGACTGCTGATGTCAGAAGCCTACGCGTGTTTCGAAAAATTTACAGACCACCATGCTCATTCATTATTCTATGCCTTTATACACTAAACGTTTTAAAACCTCAAATCATGTGTTACTTAACAATAAAGCTGTAACTCATTGTATTTTAAGTGTTGGCAGTAAGGTGATTTATCTAGAACTCTCCTTCAAAGAAAAAAAAATTCTACAATAATTACAGTGTTTAAATGAATGTTTAAAACATACCCCTAATGAGACATCATAATCTTCTGGGGTAAAAGGCTTATCTGTCAGGTCCTCAAAGAAATCTGCTAAGGAGTCCAGTGTTTCTTCAGCCAGTTTTTCATAAGTGGTCTCATCTAAAGAGCTACAAATGACATACAAGCCCATAATTAAGGAGGAAAAACATGGAAGACAGTATTTCCCCTATAGCAAAAACATACCAAGACCATGACTTTGGAAGAAACAGTAACCATGAAATGATTATATAAAACAAGTCGTCATTTTTCTGAAGGCAGTGTTGGTAACAATCCACCTTAAAAATGGAGGTGGAATTTTGAAATTTTGGTGGTAGCGACTTCTTAACTGAGGAACGTCTACTTCTTTCGTTACATATACTGACCAGTGTGTACTAAGAGGACAGAGTTAGATTTCAAAAGAAGGCATTTTCCTAGAGGGACTTTGTGCAAGAATTACTTAGTCCTGAACTCTATGAATCTCCTGTTTAGAAGCATATGTCATTTGATGCTAAGAAACTCACTGTAGCTATAAGCAGTTTAGAAACACCAGTATCACATGCCATGTCTGTGTACAGCATGCTACGTGCAATGTGCTTATGAACTGATACATACCATTACCACCTTCTTCAGAGTCTCAAAGCACCCTTGTAACCATGACATAAGGCTTACAGCACTTGTGAAACCACTTCTGTTATCCTCTTTAAATAAGTAGACCAAGTTAATGGGAACAAAGTCTAGAACAGTTTAATTAACCAAAAGTAATTAAATCACCTAAGTTTTTCCAACCATGTCGGTGTCAACTTTTAACCGAGAGTGTAGGTAGGTATCTCTAGCAATAGACAATTCTGAAATCATTTCAGTTTTCGCTAATGGGTATGGCAATACAGCAGTTACTATGAACTATGATGACTCAGTATCTTTCAGTTGACCTAATTTTTAAAAAAAGTTTCTTGCTAGCCAGTTACTGGCTACTATGCCACTTAGTGAGGGACACCTCAGAACCACCTACGGGCATGGAGACCAGAAAGTCTTAGGATTAGGCAGGATTAATATACTGGTTCAGGGTGCAGTTCAGGTACTTAATGGTAAGAGCCATTTCAGACATCTGCACAATCCTCCACTGGGCCTCCAGCTGCTGCATCACAAGGGGAAAAGCCTCTGACAGGTACCATGTCACATCCCCTCAGCACATGCAGAAATTTCGTGTACTCTGACAGATGTGAAGCGGTGCTAGACACCTATGTTTAGGTACCTGAATTATTTCCTAAGCAACTTCCCAGATTCACCCAAAATGCTTTTCACTAAAACTGTGCTTTTGCTTTATATCATCGTATCAACGCTACATTAGTTTGATAGTCTTCCCATGTCTAGAAATTGCTTTAAAATGCAGAGATGATATTTTCATATGAATGTATCAACATAAAATTTACCTTGTGTCGTTCAGAGTTCCTGCATTTCTTAAATTCATTAACCCAACAGTCTTGCTCTTCACCTCTGAAGCACATTGCAATTCCTGGTGAAAATAAGTAAAACAGAATTAAACGTTAAACCACAAATAATTATAAATTACGTATTTGTCACATAAATTAAACAGATCCTTGAAGACCTTTCCACCCACCCCACCCCCCTAAGTAAAATATTCATATTCTGTATCACAGAGCTCATAG